TAATTTCCTTGTTTCAGAGAGTTGATGATTAACTAAGTCTTAAACTACATAAATGTAATATTAGGCTGCCTAACTCTGAAAATAAAACAGGCCAATGTCTGAGCAAACACTGAAAGAATGGCCAGTCTGTGTTTACACATATAAGAAGCCAATTCTAAGCCCAATCCTGCAAAGGCTTCTGCACAAGAGAAATGAACACAAACGCTTAAGTTACTACTCACTACTTCTGCGAGTAAAAGTTACTCACGTGCACAAGAGACTGGAGGGTCAAAACCTCAAGTAATTCACTGCTAATTATGTAGCTCAGTCATTTTGCTTATTTGCCATTCCCTGTATTCCAGTGTTGTGTGGGATAACTAACGCTGCATAAAAAGCAAAACAAACCTATTGCTACTAGTAATCCGCAGTTTATGAAACATATTATTTCAGAGATATAAAATAATACAATGGAATTACCAAATCAAGCTATTTGGAGGGCTCTCCTGAAATAGTGAATAATAAGACTGTTTTGATTAATTGAAACAAAAGTGCTGTGGCACCTGCAGGGTTAATTAAGCAGTTCAAGGATGCAAGGCCACACAAAAGGAAACTCTTTGCCGTCTTTAAGAACTGTAAACACTTGTCCCGAACTAGATGGGCATTTGATAAGTTGTACAGCATGTAGCAAACTCACAGGGATCTCTAGTTAACACTCAAATTCAGTGTTAACACTTAACAGAACAGTGATAAGCCGTGCTGCCAAGGTCAACTGCACAGATGTACTAATTGTATTATGAGCTTGACATCTAGTGGCCACCCCTGGCAGGGCAAAGCAGGCAAAGGTTAAATCAGCAAGCCTTGTTAAAGCACTTCTAACTACCCACCCTCAGGGAGAGTCCTTCGGAAGCTTGTTGGCACTCGGTGCAATCCCACCTTTTCACTGATACCAAACAGACTTTCTAAAGTACACTGGCACAGAAAATACAAAAGGGGTGGTCTTGAACACAAAACTTAACCTGTGTAAGTGTGGACTGAAAAAGACATACATTGTAAAATATTCTCTTAACATTGTCAGAGGTATTATTTATTGGTGTAGTTTCCAACCCAGGGAGTTTTGATTTTTTGTGGGGAGGGAGAGGGCACAATATTAACAAAATCAACATTAAGAAAATTAGGAAAATACTGATATGAATGTTGTGTGGGTATATTAATATTGTGCATAGTAAGTCAGAACAAAAACCTCAAACCCAGTGCTACTGTGCTCAGTTATTTAAAATAATAATGTTAAAAGTTCATGATTTTTTGTTTTCCACCATTCATATATGGCATGATTTTTCTCTCTCTTCTAATTTTCAATATTCCCTCCTACATACCTTCAGGAGAAAGGAAACTATGTGCAACAGCACGACACTTAAACCTGACTCTAAAAGTACATTATGGTTTAAATTCTGCTCAATTTAATCATGGAAAATGCCTATAAAATCGAGTGGGAGGGTTTGCGAGGGTAAAGTAAGCAGGACTTTGGCCCTCTACATTGAAATGTGCTGCGCAACAAAAATATATAATTATAACTCAATTTAACATTATTTCCTCTGAAAAGTTATAGAACATTACTGTCAGCTTACTGATGAAATATTCTGGTTGAAATGTTTCATGTATGCTTTATTTTGTATGTAATGTCAGAACTGAACTTTTAAAATATCATATCCAATCTGCTTTATTATAAAAAAAAACCTGACACCTCCTGAGTCAAGGGACAGTCTACAGATTATGCTTGTTCCAGTTTGGCAATCAGTCAACAAATCATATAGGAGGAAAAACAAACAAACAAACAACCAAATACACTCCTGCCCCTAAAAAAAACAAAAAAAACCCCAAAAAAACCCCAACAAAAACTAACAAAACAAAAACAAAACAAAACAAAAAAATCATCTAGGACTGAAATTCTACTTCTGAAAAACAGTTTATGGACATATGATTTTTTTAAATAAATTTGTATTTAAAAATAAACTTCAATATTAACTGCTTGAATATTTTTTCAAATTGCTTGAATAATTTTTTTCCAAATATTTTAGAAAGTACAAGTTACCAACATTTACATTTAATCATATTAGTAGCCTGCTGATAATTATTACACAGACGCCAGTGTGGCACCTTTACACATTTTCTAAAGAAAGGAAAAATATCCATATGATCACCTCAAGATCAATGGTAAAACTTCCTGAGACTGGCAACACAAAGTGAAATCTGACCTACTTTTGCCTTTTTGCTATCATTTTGGATAAAACAATTAACTTGTTAAATAATTCCTGATTTTAATTCATACATTTTTCCTTTGTTCTCTCTGAACAAAATCAAAATTATCAACAAAATTATATGATACAAAGTTTGTAGATGGAATATGTACAAGAATTCAAAGAGAACTTAAGCAAACAATATCATTTATCCTTTCCCATTACACTGATAATTAATTAGCAATATTTTTGTTTTAGCTTAAAATATTATTTTTCAAAATAAGTAAGCAATCTCTTTTTGAATCGCTGTTGCTTCAAAAAAAGTGTTTACAAAACTAGAGGAGTTTCAAGCTTACTGTCACCTTTCAATTTCTAGAGAAAAAAATATTTTGTGTTTCTAAAATTTTATGAAGTAAACTCTTGGGTTTTTTATTGTTTGTTTTTTATATTTTTAATGCAGATGTATGCTCATTCTTGTAAGATATGTGCTGAATTTATAGACGCACATATATCAAATACAATTTTTTAAAGAAAAACTAATTACACTGAATTGATATAATTATATATAACAGCAAAAAAAAAAAAAAACCCACAAAAAACTGTATGAGTGCAGCTAATAGATGTTAAAATACACACAGTGACAGTCCATTTCACCAGCATTCACAAGATACAGGCAGTAGAATGTATTATGTATTTCACAAATGTAAAATTTCCCCCACTTGTCAATGTAATAATGTCCAGTATTTTTAATAAGCAGGCATTAGGTTGCAAATTCATAGTCAAAGATTGCCATTCCTTCCTTCCTTTAAAGTACTCCTTTCCCTTCAAAACAAACAATACATCTCAGCCATTAGCTTAGAATGAAAACAGTCCAAAGCATCAATTGCCATAGTTACTCTTATTAGAACTTTAGAATAGCAACACTGGAATCACTTTTTTAACATTATGAAAACTTCCTTTAGTTATTCCTACTTTTAAAATGCTAAGCTCACATTTCTTCACTTAGTAACATGAATTAATCTGAGTAAATATGCCTGTAATAGTTCTCTTTTCTTTAGCAGGACATAATTTTTAATAGCCTGTAATCTGTTGATTTAGGAAAAACAGTACTGCTAGAAATTTAAAATACTAGAAATATATGTTTTCTTATGCAGGAAGAGCATATTCTGTTTACTATCGACAGCAGTTTTTTCAATTCCTCTGTCTCTCTTTGTAAATGATTTCCATCATTTTGTTTCAATATGGCATCCTTAAAATGTTATGTGAACAAATATCTTTTTGTTCATTATTATACAATATATCTGGCTAATTAATCTATCATTACTAGTTGTTTGCATATATTTCTTTTCCAGTTTACGAAAGGCATATTTTATCTGTCCACATTAAAAATCATTTTAAATGAATTTCTAAAGTAAATTTGTAGCTCATCACATTGTCAATTATCTTCAGATTTCAAACACTTTCTCACCAGACTGCCCATACTCACACTGTTTTGTTGTTTGAACTCAGCTGCATTGTGCTGTCATCCAAACTGACTTCAGAAATTATTTACTATAATTCCAAAGCTTCCACTGTAACATTGCCATCTAAGTTGACTGGCCTCCATATAACTTTAAATACAACCTGCTGTTTATCTTCCATTCTGTTTTCCAAACTGTCAGATTTACCTTTGCTTCTGTTCAGTTTTACTTACAATTAGTAAAATACCTAGAGAACATTCACTTAAAATACTCCACTTAAAAAACCATGTTTTGAAAATGATATTAAATATATATGCTTACATTAAATAAATAATCTTCAACTTAATATTGGGTTATCAATAATTTCCATCACAGAATGTAAATACTCTAAAATACGTAAAAGAATACAAAAATAAAAGAATTGTTACTTTATTTGCTTTAAACCCCCCATTCCCCAACAAAACTACAAAACGACTCCTCCTCTGTTCTGTCCTGGACAGACTATTTTTGGCCTGTTGCAAAATATGTTCAGGAACTGTGGCAATATCTTGATTATAACTGCAAATGGAAATGAAAAGCACTGACTTGAAAGACATGATTTAATTCTAAGATCTTCTTTGTACTCCTAACTATATTTGACCTTTTAAATTATTTTAAAAGTAGCACTATTTGTATTTTGTTTTTATAAAGCGCAAATGATTTACACTACACAAATGTACACTATATATCCTTCAACTTGTTTACACTATTAAGTTCACCTTGTTCACATTTCTGAAATGAAAGTGAAAAACCAATAACACTGCTCCAGCTTTTTTATTGTTAACTACCAGGGTTTTCATTCCATTAATTTAAATATGTTTTAATAAAAGGGGACACAGCACATTTTGATAACAGCCTTCTAAGGCTGAGAAGTATTTACATTGTTGCATTTTAGGGCTGCTGTGAAAGCCGATTTTGAGCTATTCAGAGACCACAATAATAACGCTTTAAAATTCCTCACTGGGATGCAATGTAGTCCTTTTGATGGAAAGACTGTCTTTCTCATTCGGCAGAAATAAATCCATTCATTTGATCATGTAGTCATTGAGGGCAATACAAAACAAACCAAGTGTGAGAAATTCTATGTGATGAAGTAAACAAAACAAAACCAAAAAAAATATTTCCATGACAAAAAGATTCTTTGTGCTTAATCTACCCACCATATGCAAGCGTTTCTTTTTAGCATATCTCCTGTTCTAATCTCGGGTGACATGGCTACATAGATAAGACTCATGAAACAAAGCAAAACAAAAATAGTTTAAGAATTTTCTTCAATATTTTAACTCACCAGAGGCCACATAATGAGCTAATGCAGTGTTTTCCCCCACCCCATCCTGAAATGGAGGCCAAACATTTAAAAGTTTGTACATGAGAAAATCTTAAACCAAGAACCTCCCAATAGACACTGTGTTTAATTAATCTTGTTTCCACAATCACAAATAATTTCAATTTAATTTTCATACTGCCTCTGCCATGCTTCACTAAAGTAAAATAAAAATACACAATGTTTTGTTCTTCAGGTGTAACAGAAAGAAGCATTTCCTTGCCTGTCTCTTATTGTCAGTATCCAAAAGGCTTTCCAGAAGTGGTAGCAGCTCCTTTTCCTTCCTTCCCTGGACAGTGGAGATCAACCCTCCCTTTTCCTCCCTCCCCCCTCAAATACCCTGGGAAGGAGAAAGAGGTGGTGGCAGTCCTGGGTTTGAAGATTTGCCAATCTGACAGATGTTTTAACCTGATGAAGTGGGTTCACACTACTCTAAGCTTCAAGTTGTGAAGTTCAGATACAATAATTCAAAATCTTCTTTAGGTTCTAACTTCCATGCCCCTTTCTCTCCCCCCCCCCCCCCATGCAACTTGTAATTAATTCCAGTTTTGAAACACAAGGATAAAGAAGTGTGGGGTTTTTTTTTTGCATGTTATTTTGGTAAAATAAAGGAAAGGGGAGACTAGAAAGTGTTACGCTTACTGGTTATGCAGGAAACTAAATACATAAATTGTATGGAAGAAGGAAAAGAAAACTTTCTAGTGGAAATTCTGAATCTACCCAAGGAAAAGTGAGGACTGTAGAATCCTTTGCAAATTGTACATCTGTTCAGTAATGATAATTCTATATTTAAGAAGTTTGAAACACCATTTTAAAAGTGTGATTGCAGACAGGGGGAGAAGGATCACTACAACCCCGGGCCACTAGTTTACCACTGTTTGGGCACTCTAGCAATATTAAACCAGACATACGTGCCTCTGTGCGTATGTTTGTGGGGGAGTCATGGCGATGGGTGGGAAAAATAACCCTTCCCCACTCCATGCGGCTGTTGTGAAAGCTGATGGTGGCAGTGATCGTTTGTAGTCATTAGGACTAATATTAATCAGAGCAGAGCCCGGAGGAACGGAACGGAGATGGGGAGCAGAGCTACCAGAGTGGGAAGGTACAAGCGAGACCAGCCAGCCAACTTCCCCAACCCAGCTATGTCCCTTACCCCCTAAGGGCTGTCTCCTTCTCCCTGTCCCTCCCCAAACCCCCTTCTGCGGGGGGCGGGGGGGAGGTCAGAGGTGCAGAAAGGCAAAACCTTCCCACCTAGCCACGCTTTGCCCTTGCGATCTGGACAGGGCGCCCTGTGGCAATGGGGAGGGTGGGGGCTGATTGTTGGGAGTGGGGCTAGAACCAGGCTGCTCTGAGCCGCGCTGCGCATCCCGGCCCGGCGGAGCTGCACTTTGCGGCTCTTTCTGCAGCTCCCCCGGCAGCTGGAGCAGCTCCCAACTTTCCTGCCTGGGAACAGGAGGAGATGAGGCGGCGGAGGGAAGTGGGGGTGTGTGTGTGGGGGGGTATTTCTTTGGTTGTAAGTACGCGAGAGAGCAAACGAGCCCAGCTGGGCACGAGGGGGGAGCTCCCTCCCGGGTACCAAGCCCTCTGCCTCGCTCTA